GCAAAATTCGTCCCATCGTTTCTGAAATTTCCTCACAGTTGCGCCTATATTACAATCGGCGTCGGCAGCGGCAGCAATAACAGCAACGATAAAAACAACAACGGCAACAGCGGCAGCAACAGCAACGGCAGTTGTTGGATTGCCTTTATTATTAGCAGCGTCCTCAGCAGTACCCGTCTGTCTCCCACCAACTTCCTGGTTGGATGGACGTTGTCCTTCGTTCTATTTAGAGAGGACGCTGTTTTCGTTCCTCCCCTAACAGCGATGTTGTGTTAAGCGTTAATTGTTTAACGGCAAAGAGAGGAAGGGGCAAAATGGCTGCAGACGTGTTGGTCAGTTGAACGAAGTTGTTCCGAGATTTTTCACAGTTACGGGCCTGATTGCATGCCGATACACACTGACACTCGCGTTAAACGCTCTGCATTGTAAATGGCTCGGCAATGCAATAACATAGCATCTGGTTTACTTCTTGTCATACCGTTTACACGGGTTCAGAACACCGCGCTTTTTCGAATTAGCAGGAAGTAGTTGTATGTGAGGAGCCAGGAAATTCAATTTTACAGCTGTTTAGAAACATCAAAACGATCCATTTATATTTGATGGGAAAGAAATTTGGCTTTATCATTACACTGTCAATGAAACACTATTTGCGACAAAATATATTATCTGTGTGCCATTTAATGGTGTCGACCATTATTGATCATCTTTGACATTTTTGATGCCTCAAAACAGGTTATGCACTTTGATAATGGTAATTGTCTGAATATTAGCCCTGATTCACTTAACATATTTCTTATGACTGTGATACAACAATCTCAGGCTATCGTTTTAGCTTTCCTGCTTAAAACAGCTGCACAGACTAAGTTCAACGGCCATCTAAGGTCAGAATTACGAGGCCATTAAATCACAATCACCTCGCATGCATTTTCGACCACCGTGGAATTCCAGCGGTAATTCTGTTGTAGCAATCGACATTTTCTGACGAGCACGACATTTGTTTAAAGCTGAATAGATACATGTTTCAAAAGTTAATGGGTGCCAGTTGATGTTGAAATAGTAACTAGGATAGGGCAGTTGGGAGTCACAACTTTGAAACTATTATGCTACAAGCTTTTGCTTTCCTAACCTTAAAAACAAAAACTTCAGTCGTTATCCTGCACTTCCCTTGAAAACTCGCATTTGACAACGAAGTAGTACGGATTGAGTAAGCGTGTTCGCATTGAACTAGACCATGTTTTCTGCAGTCTCATAGAGAGAGTTAAAAGTTTAGAATTTCCCAAAAGCTGGCTACTTTTTTGCTTATTTTGTTGCCTGCGAGAAAAATGCATTTTAGACTTTTTTTCAACTATTCAATTCACCGATGCAACTGACGGAGAACT